GCTTTAAATTTTGTACTGCTTATCATCCCTGGCTTATTTTTAGCTTCCATAGCGTACACAATGGTGCCGCGAGAAATGCTTTCAGCGAACGGTCGCGAAGTTGTTGTTCCAGCGATTATGGATTATATTAATGTCGGACCATTCAACAGCACATCTGAATTTGTGGAATCCGTAAGATCTTACAATTCCTTCCTTGAATTTTGCAGAAATGTCATTCCTGTCAGTTCAGGCTCTGCCAGCGATCTGTTTTTGTTCTTTTTCGCTTAAGGAGCTCCAAATTTCGTTACATTTTTTGCTGAATCAGCGGCACTTGGGCGGATTTTACTTGAGCCACAGTTGCAGGTTTTGGAAATTTTGAAGAAGGAGCTTTATCTGTTTGGGCCAATTGCCATGTCTTTTCCTGTCACCGAAGAATTTTTGCATTATGCAAGTGGTAGGCTTGAGCATTTCTTTTAACTTGTCAAGTTTTAATGACATTATTTCCTCATAAAAATTCAAATGAGCATCTAAAAAACATTTCAGGGATCTATAGTCCATTCCCAGAAGCAGGGTTTGAGGGACGTTTCGTTTTCTGGCATGTGGTACGGTTGATTGGTTGGGCTTACGATCCGGAAGGCCTGTTCCACTGGATTGCGGTAAACTCGTTTGGGCGACACTGGGGCGAAAATGGTACGATCACAGTTATGAAGAAAAATCCTGGTTACTAATATAGGCTGGTTTAGGCTTTTCTAGTGTGCAACCAAAGAGTTTAACAAAATTTTGATGCTTTTGACAAACAGCTTCTGGGCTTGATTTTTTGTTTTGCATCTTACGGTATTAGAAGCTGCTTCCATATCTCACTATTACATGAACTGCAACCTCAGTTCTAAATTCAAGTTAGAAACTCATATTCAGATGCTGCTTCTGACGCAGATATGGCTCTAAAATCATTTCATGCTCGGAAATACAGCAGAACTGAGTGTGTAAATTAACGTATAATGTCAAATGGCTTTAGATTCAATTGTTAGGGCTTGAACTTTTATTGAAGAGATATGCGAATAATCATCAAAATTAACTAACGTGTACTGATTCACGTCATAAAACTTTAAACTGTTTCAAGTAGACAAAAGTTAGCTAACATGCGGTGCTAAATTTAGACGCATTACCGTCTGACAAAGGCTTTTATGCTAAAAGCAGTCTTGCTCAAAAAAGTTCGAGAATTTTAAAAACCCCAGATTTTTTGGAAACA